GATCTAAAGCAGCCGGGAGCCCCACCCCCTTTGGCCCCCAGTCGGCGGGCCCCTCGCACGCCACCTGGATCTGACCTGAGAGGCTGCCGCAGCGGAGTTTGTTCCCCTGGCGCTGTCTCTGCGGTGCAGCGAGGGGCTCAAAAGGCTGTTTGCTGATTGCACCTTCCCCTCTGCCCTGCTGGCTGGTCAGTGCAGCAGGGACAGTCCCTGGCTGCATGTCCCAGCAGCCCCTGCCAAGCTGTCTGTCCCCTGAGCTCCCTGCCCCGGGGTGCCAGGCCCTGCCCTTTGCAGCGGGCTGAGACGGCCAGGCTGGCTGTGGGAAATGGGTCAGACCCCCTGCCTTACGGCTGCTGGGAGAGCTGGCCATGGGGTGGTGGATTCTAGCCCAGCCCTGCGAAGGGGCGTGTGGTTCAGTGGTCAGAGCAGGCGGTGCTGGGAGCCAGGCCCCCTGGGCTCTGTGCCTGGCTTAGGGCAGAGCCTGGCCTGGTGTCCTGAGCAAGGAGTGGAAGCCAGGCTTCCCCCAGAGCCTGTCTGGCCTCTGGCCCTGGGGTCACCCCATTACAGAGCCACATCTGCGCAGCCCTGGGGGTGACCTCCCGGGTTGCCCATTGGATGAGGCCCCGGCGATTCCCTTGCTGCTGACGTCACTCAGCCCGGCACAGAGCCTCAGGCGCCCACTGCCTCTGTCCTGCCAACGACCCAGGGGGGCTGTAGCCAAAGCCCAGAGCCCTGCCAGGCCGGGCTAATGCTGGGCCCCAGCCAAGCTGCCCCAGCAGGATGCTCATGCTAGGCGGGGAGGTGCACAGCCTCCCCGTGGGGCCCAGTCCTGCTTGGTGCCCCCTGTGCCCCGCCACCTTCCAGTGCCACAGAAGGAGAGGGGAGGGGCACGCTGCCCCTCCCTGTACAGCCTGGGAAGCTGGGCAGGGGGAGCCCTGGGTTCGACTCCCTGCTTTTGAGCCGAGGGCTCCGTGGGCCAGGGCTGCAGACTGGCCATCAGGCTGTCCCTGGGGCTTGTCACGAGACACGGTCAGGGCTGAGGATCCAGGGGCAGCGAGGCAGCTGGCTCTGCTCAGACCCGGGGGCAGATCACTGGGAGAGACGTGTCTGAGAGAGGAGGGAACAGTCGAGCGACTGACTGACTAATCACTAAGCAAACGCGGATCGGTCAATGCTTCAGACGACTCGCATCCCCCCAGCAGCCCAGCTCAGTCCCAGCCTGCACGGGGTCCGGGGCCCACCTCTGCATTTAAAGAGTTTTAGGAGCCAGGCAGGCAGGCAACTTGGCTGAGTTCCAGCTCGCGCCGGGTCCAGGAGCTCAGAACCCCCCAGACAGGGGCTGCTGCCTGGAGCAGGGCAGGGCGACAGAGGGGAGCTGCTTTTTAAACTGACTCCCCTCGCGGACCAGAGGTGCTGGGAGTGGGGCCGGAGCACACTGGCTGTAGTCGAACAGTCGGGGAACCGATAATTCAGGAGGTGAATCGACTATTCAGGGAAGCGATATGAGCACCCCTAGCGCGAGGAGCCCTGTGCCGACGTGCCCTGTGCGCTGCAGCTGGCCTTGTGGAGCGGGGCCGGCCCAGCGGGACGCACTCCGCACTGCGCGGCACCGCTCTCCCAGGAGCAGAGTCCATCTGGATTAGATTAGCCCCGGGCCTGCTTCCCTCTTGCCCAGGCAATTGCAGGCTGCAGGCCCCTCTGTGCAGAGCCCTTTGCACCCAGTTCTAGGGCAGATCCTCGCGCTGCGGGGGCGAGCCAGGGCGGCTGGGCTGAGTCACGTCCATTTGCATGGGCTGGTCTGTCATTAGCGACTGACTCAGACACAGACGGATGCGGAGACGCTGCCTGGCTCCCCGGCAGAGGACGCAGAGCTGCGATGGTGGCCATTATTCTGTACCCCGCCATCGTGCTGTGCTACTTCTACCAGGTGTGCTGGGGCAGCCAACGGGACCAGTTGCTCTTGGACTCCAGGGCATCCTTCAATGTCTTCTGCCTCTTTGCCATCGTCCAGCCCGTCTGCCTGGCCATGGGTGGCTACGCCAGCATGCTGGTGTATTGCTTTGCGGCCCTGCTGTCCTACGCCCTGCTGCCCAGGATAGAGTGCAGCAGAGAGGCTGGGCAGACCAGGCACCAGGACAGGAAGCCCAAAACTGCCTGAGGCTGACCTGCGGCCACGCCATGGTCAGGGACTCGGGCGGAACCATTGCCCTCCGCTGCTGCCTCTGCGCCCGTGGGGCAGCGCCTCTGTGCAAGCGGGTCCTTCCCTCCCCTGCTAGCTCCAGGACACCGGCCCGTGCCCAGGAAGAGGAGCAGGAGGTGGATCGCGGTGCAGCCAGGTGTGTTACGGGAGCGGGTGGTGCGCGGTGGCTGTGCCTGCCTCTGACATTGGCCGGTATTGGACACAGCCGCCGGAGATGCCTGCGTCCACAGATGGGCTTAGAACCCTGCCGGCTGCTGCCCAGTCTCTGCTAAGGCTTGACACCTGCCCCTGCAGCGAGCTCTGTCCCCCGGGATTCTCCGCACGGGGGGGCGCAGCCAGAAGCAGCCAGGCCTTGTGCCCGGTTTCAAGCCAAACAGCCCCAGTTTCCTAAGTTTCGTTCCTGTCTGGTGCGGAGGTAAAACCCAGCATTGCTTTTGCTGGTTCTGTTGGGCCCCATTGCACGGCATGTGCTTCTCTGGCCCCCTGGTGTATGAGACCGGCCTGCCAGGGGCAGGGGCCAGCTGTTCCGGGGAGGATCCATTGGTGGTCCCCTCTCCGGCAGCGGTGCTCACAGCTTGGCCAAGAGCAGATGGGGGATCAGATGTGCTGGGGCTCTCCTCCGCTCTGTGTGGGAGACCCAGGCTCAGACCCCTGCTCTGCCTGTCTTTGCCGGGGCCCTGACCCCAGACATCCCCCGGGGCATCCCCTGCCGTCAGAAACTTGAACTTGGCTCACCCTCTTGCCAGGGGTTGCTTGTACCACCCATCTGCAGAGCCACTGGCCCCAGGAACACAGCCACAGCAGAACAGAGGGAGGCAGGGCCCTCTCCTGGAGCTGGCAGAGCAGGGCTTTGAACCCAGCTGGGGGATCTGACAGGCTGACCTAGCACAGGTAGTCTGGCTCAGCCGGTTCCTCGCTGGTCTGGGTTCCCTGTTCTCCCACTTGGTGTTTGCGTGCCTGGCTGGGACAACTGGGACCCTAGGAGCTGGGCAGGGTCTCATATGACAGCTTCTGGGGCACCACCGAGAGGGTCAGATCAGGGCAAATTGCTTAGGAATAGGGCTACTTCTAGCAAGACTGTAAGGCACCAAGCCAGTCACACAGAGCACTGCTGTTTGCCACACTGGCCAGCAAGAAGTCGCACAAGAAAACCCCTCGGACACCCCAGCGTTCCCAGTGCCACCACCAGCACCGCTCCTTATGCAGGGGAGAGGCTGGGAACCCTGCTGGGAACCCTACCCAACCTCCCCCCTCCGAACAGCTTGCTGAGCCCACAGTCCCAGGTCAATGTATCTCTTAGATCTTACCCAGAAGAGCGCGCTGGGCCCGTCCGTTAGAATCTAAAACCTAAAGGGTAATAAAAGAAAGAAAGGAAGACAAGGCAGAAAGTGGAATGGTTAAAGAAATGACTTGACTTACACCGATCATAAAGTCCCTGGTGCAGGCTCTTAGCAGAGATGGAATAAACGGCTATTTTAAGTCTCTGGAATTCACCGTGTTAGGATGGGCCCTTTGTTCATAGAAAAGATGCTTCTGAAGCAACGAGCTGGAGGATCCCTGGGCCGTTTTATACTCTTGCCCACAAGGAGGGATCCCTTCTCGCTGGGTGCAGGAACCTCCCAAAATGGAGTTTGTCACATGAGCAAAATCGCCTCTCTAGGTCCTTTTTAGGCAAATGGCCAGGGGCAGCAGGTTTGGCTGCAGGTTTGCAGCAGAATTCCTCTGAGTTATATTGGCAACACTTAGGCTATGTCCACACTGGCGGGTTGTTGCGCCAGAAGTATGCAAATGAGGCTAAGCGTGGAATATCGCCGTGCCTCATTTGCATACCTAATGAGCCGCCGTTTTTGCAGCAGAGGCTCTTGCGCCAGAAGGAGCTGTCTACACTGCCCCTTCGTGCGCAAGAAAAACCCTCTTACGCAACACCGCGACGCTGATTATTTTCAGGAATAAGGGCGTTGCGCAAGAGGGGTTTTCTTGTGCAAGAAGGGGCCGTGCAGACAGCTTCTTCTGGCGCAAGAGCCTCTTCTGCAAAAATGGTGGCTCATTAGGTATGCAAATGAGGCACGGCGATATTCCACGCTTAGCCTCATTTGCATACTTCTGGCGCAACAACCTGCCAGTGTGGACATAGGCTTAAAGTTCACTTGTTCATCAAGTACCTTCCCAATGGATGGGTCACATTCCGGTACAGAGCCAACACTTACACTTTGAAATACAAAAATCAGACGTGCGTGTGGCTAGTGAGAGACGCAGCGAAGCAGCAGCTTTCAGGAGACGCTTCCCTTGGCCCGTTTTGCACAGAATTTGGGGCAATACACAACAGTGGGGGCAACAGCGTTCTGCTTGTTCGTATTACAATCCAGTAACGTCCCAGCAGGCAAAGCCGGGTCCCCTGGGTGACTCGCAGTCAGGGAGCAGCAGCTCATGCAAGGGTTTGTGCCAGGACTGGCAGTGGGGGCAGCCTGTACCCTGGGGGCTGGGTGCTCACCCCGCTTTGCAGGGCAAGTCAGACCTGGCCCTGGCTGGTGCCATGGGGGTCTGCACCCCCTAAAGCGGTGGGGTTAGCGCTCTGGGCGTTCCCAGCCTCTGCAGGAGCCCCACTTCTGGCCACCAGACATGCCACCCAAGCTCTGAGAAGTGTGCGAGGGCCCCAAAGGCCCCGGACCCAGTGGGGTGGGAGGAGGAGGGATTCTCCTGTGAGTTCACGGACCTTTTCCTCAGAAGCAAATTGCTCAGTAATGAGCCACGCGGCAGCTGAGCGTGGCCCCGGCTGCTCACGTCAGTCCCTCCCTCTCCACAGGGCCTGGGCACATTCGGGCAGCTACAAATGGACATCGTTGCTCAGCAATCACTGGGGCTCTGAGTCTGCACCAGCGCAGGATCGGGCACCTCGGACAAGTCCCACAGGCCTTTCTCCTTCCCTTGCCTCTGCCTGGTACAGCCATGGACAGCCCCAGAGCTACTGAGCGGGATCCCTGGCCACTCCTGTAACCTGACTAATAAACACTGCTCCCTGATTCTGTGGGCATTGAGCTGTCCTTCCACTGTAAAACACAGGGCGTGGGTTTGCGGCCATGCGAGTAGCCTCCCCCGCAGAATGAAGGCTCTGGTTTGGGGGTCATGTGTGCACCCCTGTGAGGAGCCAGGTGGCAGGGGGCGAAGCTCGTGCGCAGGAAGGCGAGAGGCGGTCACACACATTGGGGTGGGCCGTTATTGCTACGTTATGCAAACGCAGATCAGCGGGGGGAGCTGGCGGGGCTGCGGCAGGAGAAGTAATGTGGCGTTTGCTGATTCATGCATTATTAATTGGATTAAATGAAAACACTCAGTCTCTGGTCCCGCTGTTCTGCGTGCTCCAGGATAGGGAGCGAAAGGTCAACTAGGAAGCAAGCCCTTTACTGGCATGCTTACCTGGTAACCGGTTCATCAGTGGGGGGGCTCAGCACGGCCTGGCCAGAGACGCCCTGCCAGTGCTCGGTACCCAGTCCTTGCAGGCAGCCAGCTGAGAGCATCAGCAGTTCTGCCTTCTCTTGCCCGTGTTACCCATTGCCCATGACAGTGACGTTGCATGCTGGGGATCTGGCCCTGTGCCTTGTCCTGACCTGCTGCTGCAGACGCTGACAGCAATGAGTGGTGGAACGGAGTTTGATTCTAATGGTGAAAGAGTCCTGCACCCACTGGCTGTCAACATCTGCTCTCCACTAGGGCAGCACCCCCACTGGGTAGGGACCAGGCTTTGGGAGCCCAAGAACTGAGCCATTGTTCAGGGCAGCAAGCTTGAGAGAGAGAGAGAAGCTCAGTTGGCTCTGTTCTGGGGAGGAGCAGGCGTGTGGCAGGCCCCTGCCCACAGAGAGCCCAAGCCTGGCTCACAGGCCATGGACTATGGAGCGGGGACCCAGCCAGTGGCTGACTGTGGTCAGGTCAGGCAGGCATGAGCCAGCAAGTGGGGAATTTTTCCACTGGAAATCATTGGCCTCTTCTTGGCAACTAGTCTCAAGTGTACCCCTGGTGACCTTTCTCCTGGCATCCCCAGTCCTTGGAACCCCCTGCCTACTGCTGGCTAGGACCCTTCCCCTACCTGCCCCATCACTAGGGGATCTTGACACACTCAGCCAGGCTCTCCTGTCAACCCCACTGATGTTAGGCGAGTCTCTCCTGATTCAGGCCAGGGAGATGGGAACGGGGCTCAGCGCTCTCTCCCAATCCATACTTGGAATTAGCACTAAGTCACCCAGAACGGTGGCAGCAGAGTAAACAAGCGGGCTGGTGGCCAACTGGCACTGGTCACAGCTGTCCCACAGGAGCTTACGCCTGGCCCATCGCCGCTTCCCAAACCTCCCCCATTCCACTCGTGAAGAATCAGCTCCATGCAGACTCAGCTCGCTTGGTAGTTGAAGTCCTTTGCTTGTGTTCTCCCTAGTATTTAATTGAACCAGTGCCTAAAATAGCTCCCACAATTACTCCAGCTAACGGCTGTTCTGTTTACCAAAAGCCTTTCTTCTCCCCAGTCTTTGTCTGGAGGGTGATTCACTTGCGGCAGGTCTCTGCTGGAGTGGGGAAGGGAATCGCTGAGGGAGGCAGGAGGAGCTGGACCCAAGTGGGAGCAAGGGGCGAATGGAGAACACGAACGTTTGCACGGAGTATCACATCCAACAGCAAGAGCTGACTTTCACCGGGGGGGGGGGGCGGAAATTGGCACTCTTGAGAGGGGACCAGAGCCCCTCATCACCAGATGGTGAGAGCTGGAATGGAGCAACCCTGCGCTGACTGGTCCCTGGATGACATGACATGGGCTGGGACCAGGCTCTGCAGTGCAGTACAGACAGATGGTCAACCTGTTATATTCCTAGGGTTGCCACCCCCCAGGATTGTCCCGGAGTCTCCAGGAACCAAACATTGATCTTTAATGAAAGGCTCGCTCAGGTGATGACATCTGCAGCAATTCATCCAGTAGCTCTCCACCTCCGCACAGTGGCTTGGTCACCTACAAGTGGGAAAGTGGGGCCAACAGCGGGACTTTGCACCCAAGCCACTGGGAATCCTGTGGGACTGGGGAGGTCTGGGTCATGTTCTGCTCCCTTGGCCCCAACCTGTCATTGGGGTTAGATTCGACACCAGAAGAAATCAGTTTTCAGGCTCTGTTTTGGATATTGCTAAAATTCCATGAGACCAGCCATCTGGAGCCCAAGATGGTGGCAAACTGGCTGGGACAGCCTGGGAGATATTAGTGCTTGACCCTGCCTGGCACAACCCATCACGCTGTAGCCCTGGCCTCACCCAAAACTGGCCTGGATGCACGTTCCTTGGCCCAGCTGGTGTTCACCAGGGAAAATTCCCTGTGGAGGAGCATATTAAAACTGACGTTCAATCTGCCAACCCACAAAAGTGCTGCGATCAGGCCGAAATCTGTGGTGATGTTTTGCTTTGAAGTCACATTCATATGCATCTGGATTTACACTGTGGCTGCCTGGGTCTAAAGCAGGGAGTTTGGATTTTGACTTTTAAATTCCCCTTTCCAGCCTCAGCCGGCTTTGCATTGCTGTGCAATGCCTGTGTGTCTTGAGAACAACAGCTGCGATTCCCCAGAGGCAGCTGCATTTCGGTGGTGGGTGAAACAATTTCTATATTTAATCTGCAAAGTGGGAATCTGTTTTCAGAGCCTTCTGGATGAAAGGAGCTATATAAAGGTAATTCATTATCTTGATTCTTATTATCCCTAGCTGAATGTCCTGCCTTTTGCAGAGCTGAGCAGAGACAGGAGTTTAATTTTTCTTCTGCGCAATTGAATTTGGCATATTTTTTTTAATTTTAAGATGGTATTTAAAGATGCCTTAACTGTCATGAGGCAAAGATTTACAGGCAGGGATGTAAGAACGGAAATTTCTATTGAATCACTCAAGGGCTCTCAAAGCTCTTTGTAAGTGAATTCATGTTCACTAGTACCCAGGGAGAGAGCTTGGTCTAATTAACCCCATATTACAGATAGGGAAACTGAGGCACAGCAAGTGCCCTACTGCATCTATGAGAGAAGAGGAAAGGGTATGCTGGTTCCCTCCACTTCCCTCTTAAGCTGGATACAGAACCCTGAAGTAGATTTCAATGGAAAAGTTCATCCAAAATATTTGTGTTGGAATGTGCTGATTTGTAGACCGTGTAGAAACAGTTTGATATTAGGGTGGCCAACTTTCTGATTGCAGAAAACTGACACCCTTGCCCGTGCCCCGCCCCATCCCACCCCAATTTGTTGTTGATAATCAGCCACCGTTCCCAGAGAGAGACACTTCCAAAAGTGAAGAGGGTCAGTCTGCCCAATCCTCAGCTGGTGCGAGTCAGCATTGCTCTGTAAAGCTCAAGACATTTCACACCAGTACGTGGTACTTTTGGTAACATCACTTTTTCTGCAAGGGCCTGGGACCAGCTGGGAGGAAAGAACCCAGTTCAAGTGTGACCAAGCTGCCACTCACCTGTGTTCTTCCCCACCGCAAAAAGGGAGAAGAGGTGAGAGCGCTGATGGCTCAGAGGCAAATGAACCATCTCGAAGGGTGCAAAGACCTTTCAGCTGTTTTGTAAGTCCTGAAGAGAAAAGGCAGGACCTGGACTCCCATGAGCACAGTTACGGAGCCTGAGTCAGCTGCCACGGGCCAGTGTGGGTGTCTAATTACATGTAGACATACCCAGCCTGGCAGAAAGGAAGTGCTATTATTCCCAGATGGGGAACTAAGCCACAGAGCGCCTGAAGGCCAGACCCCAGGTAATCACTAGAGTGAACAGCTAGATTGTCAAAGGAATCCTGCACAGGGGAGGTTCCCCCGACTCCTGCACCCCGTAGCAGCCAGAACAGACTCCACCAGCCAGTAGAATAGAGGGAGTTTATTGCTTCTCCGGGATACAGCACAGCACAGATGTCATCTGGTTCCAGGGCAGGCCTAGGATGCTTCAGTCCCCCTTGAGATGGAGGAGACTGGGCCCTTAAATCCCAGCCCCTTGCTTAGGCTGCTTCCTCCATGATTCTATACAGAAACTCAACTCTCTTCCAGCCCTGCCCCCCAGCCAGGGGTTGGTCTCCGCCTTCCTCCCTTTGTCTCTCTCCCTGGGAGGCGACCTGTCGGACAGGTTGGGAGCCCCTGGCCTAGTGACTCATCCGCTGTCCTGTTGGGCTGTGCTGCAAACAGCCACCAGTGGAGGTCACTCACTGCCCAAGCCCAGCAACCAGCAAGGCACCCACGGGTCTCCGGCAGGAAGCCTCAGGGCCTGGTCCACCTCATCACAATGCCACACAGCTCGCAAGAGATCTCCTGGAGAGGTAGAGCTGTGGCTCAGCTAGGATGTGGGGGAGCCCTGACTCATGGTACATAGGCAACAGCAAGTGGAGAGGGGCAAATCCCACAGCTGGGGCAGAGGAGGAGGGGCCTGTCAGTGCCTGTAGAGAACATGGTAGTCGGTGAAGTTGTCAGGGTCCAGCAACACAATCTCAGAGCTGGGTGGACCTGAGAGTGCCCCGGCTCAGAGATCGCTCTCTGAACCCTTCTCATCAGGCAGCAGGGCAGTTGGACTGGGAGAGGCTCCCAGGGAGGCACCAGCACCTACTCCAGTGTGGCGTGGGGTGTGTGCGATGAATCCAACCCAATGGGGTGGAGAACACTGGCCTGCCCAGGGTGAGGAGCATGATGGAGCTAGTGTGAGACAGGTGCAGAGCCAAGCAGCCACTGGGCTTTGGGCTTTTTCTAGGGCTTTCCAGGGCCAGATTTTTGGAACCTCACCCTCTGAAAAACCAGGCCCCGTACAGGCAGGGGCTCCGAGCGCACAGAGCACTGGAGTGGGATGAAGAACATGGGATCTGCCACTGGCTCTACTGCTGGGCAAGATGTTACTGTTGTGTTCCTCAGTTTCCTCATCTGTAGACCAATACTGACCTCAGGTGACGGATGACAACCCCCCGCTAGGAGCTGAGTACCCATAGCCATGAGCAGGTGTTTCCCTGCCATTGTAGCATGTCCCTGGGTTCGTTGCCCTT